CCAATCCGTCCCTATATACATATAGGCTACATAGATAGTCTAATGGAATCAAATTCCGGTGCCTTAAGGCTGCGCAAGGGTCCTGCACTGCCACTCTTGGCGCAAACTCGACACCATCCCCTCTCTAGCTCTTGAGCATCGACCACGATGCTGCTGCAGGGCAATCTGTGCCATCCAGCCCCTTGCTTCACTCCTTCCTCACTGTCAACTACTGTCAACCATTCTGAGGCGTCCTGGAGATGATTCTGGCTGGTTTCTGGGCTGATCTGAGCTGTTCTTGGGCTGGATGGATGGGTTTTTGTGATTTTGAGACGGAATTTGCTTTCTGGCTCTGCTCTGTGTCTGTCGTCTGCCGGGATTGCTTCGAGTTTTGGTGCGTCCTGGTAAGGCTGGTGTGTACTGCATTCTGGACCTCCATCTGGAGGACTGGACATGCATATGCAGTCAGTGGACCACCTTTTGCATCGGATTTACTAACTTCGCACATCTGTGCAGGCGACTGTTTGGGTTGCTCCGGGGCTTCAGGTTGAGGGAATCGGACCTCCGTCTGGAGGATTGTAACCCAAGACCTGCAGTCTTGGGGTATTGTTTGTGTTATCGGTTTAGAATCGAGTCTGTGGCCTTTGTTTCACTGGAACAGTTTGCGGAATTCCGTGATCTTGACCCATGGGTCATGATCTCCGTCTTGGCATAACTGTTCGCTGTGTATTCTGTGATTCGTCCTCTGCAACCGTCACTGGTGCAGACCCGGTATTTGGATTGGCAAAGCGACCGATAATTCGTATTGAAGGCATGGCACGGACAACAGCCTGTGAAGCGGCTTCCTTGTCTTCCTTCGACCACTGCCGTTGTGTTGCGTTTGGCAAGACCCAAGCACGATGGTTTGTATCATCTTCTCGGAGATGAGCAAGTCGAAGACGGTTTCCATTCACCAAGCCTGGTCGTAAGTGTCCATGTCTATCCTTCAGTTGATAGGTTCCCTTATCCAGTTTTGTAGTGATCACAAATGGTCCAAACCATGCATCACCCTTGTTTGCAGTTTCATTCCGGAGCAGCACCTTTTGACCAACCTCAAAAGGCTGCTGTGTACCTTCCGTCCCGATATTGAGTTGGTGCTCCCACCGCTCTTTGTCTGCAAGTGCACGGATAGTGCCCTCGCTCCGAAGCTTGTTCTCGAGCCTTCTGCATTTGCAAGTGCCGTTCCGAGTGCTCTGCATCCCCTGGGAGTGCAGCATCTGGGGCACGGAGAAGTGGCTGGTCAAATGGCAACCGAGGCTTTCGACCATACAACAACTCAAATGGTGACCACTTGGCTGTGGTTTGCTGTCGGACTCGAGTTGCAAATAGTGCAGCATCAAGAAATTCGTTCCATCGAGTCGGATCTCCTGTGGTATTCATCTTCTTGAGATATGACTCAAGGATCCCATTGTACCGCTCCGTTTTCCCATTGGTATGTGGATAATATCCTGAAGTAGTCAACCGTCTGATCTTTGCAATCTTCAGGAATTCAGACACAACTGGAGGAAGGAAGTTCTTTCCACAGTCCGTGAGGATTTCACTTGGCACTCCATAGTGCATAACGATCTGGTCCCAAATCTCCCGGGCAACTCGTTGGCCTCTGGCCTTTCGCATCGGAATTGCAATGGGCCAGCCTGTGGCATGATTGACCATCATCAAGATCCACTTATGCTTGTGACTGTCTCTGGTCTCTGGCATTCCGATGAAGTCCATTCCCCATTGCTCAAATGGTTCAACTGGTGGAAGTGGGTGTTGTTCTTCAAACTCCTGTCATTTCCTTGGATCAGAGAAGATTTGACATTGTGGACATGTCTGACAATATGTCTCACAATCTTTTCATGTTCCAGGCCACCAACCCTGTCCTCTGAGCAAGTCAAGAATACTGTGGACACCCTGATGGCCATACTCCTTACAAAGCACATCAAGTAATTCTGCATGGTGCAAGAATGGGATAAAGGGTGAAGACTCATTTCCATTTGGCCCAGTAAACACAAGTGTTTCAGCAACTGTGTCATATCAGAAATCACCAGCTTGTCTCTTGGCTTCTTTGACAAGGTTTTCTGGGACTGAGGCTGGAATTTCTTCATTCTCCAGTACTGCTGGTACCAGTAATGGCCAGTCTGTCCATTCAAACAAGTTGAAATCAAAGTCCAATGCCACAATTTCAGTATCTGGACCTTCTCCCCTTCAAAATTGTCTCTCATCCTTGAGAGCACATCTGGAACAGTGTTATCTACTCCTTTCTGATAGATGATCTTCACATCCATCATGGAGAACTCTTCAATCCACCAAGTGAGGTGTCGAGTGACAACCTTTTGTTGCTTGAGGTAAGCAAGAGAAGTGTGATCTGTCAAGACTGTTGTCTGACTGACTGTCAGGGCACCAGCTCATTGCTTGGTCAAGAGACATGACTAAGCCTTTATGACATGGAAGTAGCTGGTATACCTTGGCATGTGCTGGAACCTGCTGG